TAAATTGCCAAAACTTTTCCTCCCAATATATTGGAGAAACAAGTAGAAATATAAAAAAAAACCACATTTATGAGCACAAAAGAGACCTCACAAAAAACAACTTAGCTAATGCACTAGTCATACATAGAAATAAATTCAACGATAATTTTGATTTTAAAAATGCTACTGCATTATAAAAAAAAGAAAATAACTCACTCAGAGGGAAAATTCTAGAGAGTGCCGCCATAGAATATTACCCAAATATTAATCTACGTCAAGGTTTTTCCCTATTTCACCTTTCTTAACAAAATTACTGCTTTCACAAACAAATGTACACAACAAATTCATAAAATCAAAAGAAAATGGTTGAATACATTAACACAGATATAATGACAATATTCTCCACACGTGACAAATACTCACGTTATTTTCAGTTAACAATATGAAAATAGCGTTTCTCTACATTCCAGTTCCTAGGAACTTTCTGTTTTTTTTTTTTTTTTTATCAGTTACCTTGTTCAATTAATTTCATTTCGTATTTTGCTTTGATAAAGTCCACATTGGACGAAACGCGTCATCTATTAGTAGTTTTCCTATTGTCATTTTTATTCATATATATATATTCTTTAATTTATATTTTTTTTTTGTACTTTCAAATGAATAAATAAGCAATAAATCCCAAGCAACACTGTCATCTGTCATAGAATTCTACCGAGACTTCATTTTTTAATTATTGAGAAATCGTTTCACAAAAACTTTTCACCATTTCTACGTTTGTTCTTCTGTGATGAAAATGACTGAGACGGCTTCAATAAAAAAAATACCTTGAATCTTTTTAGTAATGGCGCCCGCCGTATGATGAGCCATATGTGATGCGGCCACTGGTCAGAAAAGGTGCCCATGCCTGAGCTAGACTTTTGGTGCATCCGTAAAAGCTTGATTTACAGGGAGGAATAAACAAATCGGATAGTGAAAAGTTTAGGATTACACAAATATAGAAAGAGGAATGAAACAAAAATGTTTTTATCTCACCAGTTGTATTCAATGAATACAGTAAGACAATCTGAAGAGAATTAGATGAGAGACAAAGATTTCTATAGGACAATGAATGTTGGACAATCTATACACAGATGAAGTAGAAATATGAACCAACAGAAATTTAGTTCTTCAGTCGGATGCTGAGAATACCATGGACTGAACATATGAGCAACGACGAAGTTTTACAGAAAATACAAACAGAAAGGAAACTTATTCTTAACATCAGTATGATCCATTTAAAATATCTAGGGCACATTATGAGGAAAGAAGGCTTGGAAAATCTGATACTCAAGGGGACAGATTGAAACGGGGATGGACAACGAAAATCAATACATAACCTACTTTGTGAGCTTGAGTAAATAGATCTCAGAACGAGGTTTCGGAGACATAACAAACAAGAAAAATTTTTTTTATTAAGATCTACAAAGGAAAGGAAATTGTGGAGAGAAATAATTCATAGAATAAGAATGATCGTGTATAAATGATTATCAGAACAGGTAATTGACGAGATAGATGGAGAGCCATGATTGTCAACATCCCGAAGGGACACGTCTCGTTGAATAATATGCTTCTGTAAATAGTTAGCAGAACAGGAATTAGGAAATATAGCAAAAAGACAAATTTACTAATAGCTACAAAGGACAGGAAATTGTGGAGAGCCATAATCGTCAATGCCATGAAGGGAAACGTCTCGTTGAAGAAGAGTATGTATTTCTGTAAATGGTTAGCAGAACAGGGATTAGGAATGATAACAAAACAGAAATTTACTAAAGGCTACAAGGACAGGAAATTGTGGAGAGCCATGATCGTCAACGCCATGAAGGACACGGTTCTTTGAAGAAAAGAAGTATGTATTTTTGTAAATGGTTAGCAGAACAGGGATTAGGAATGATAACAAAAGAGAAATTTACTAGAGGCTACAAAAGGACAGGAAATTGTGGAAGCCATGATCGTCAACGCCATGAAGGGACACGGCTCGTTGAAGAAGAAGTATGTATTTCTGTAAATGGTTAGCAGAACAGGGATTAGGAATGATAACAAAAAGAGAAATTTACTAAGGGCTACAAAGGACAGGAAATTGTGGAGAGCCATGATCGTCAATGCCATGAAGGGACACGGCTCGTTGAAGAAGAAGTATGTATTTCCGTAAATGGTTAGCAGAACAGGGATTAGGAATGATAACAAAAAGAGAAATTTACTAAGGGCTACAAAGGACAGGAAATTGTGGAGAGCCATGATCGTCAATGCCATGAAGGACACGGCTCGTTGAAGAAAAGTATGTATTTCCGTAAATGGTTAGCAGAACAGGGGATTAGGAATGATAACAAAAACAGAAATTTACTAAGGGCTACAAAGGACAGGAAATTGTGGAGAGCCATGATCGTCAACGCCATGAAGGGACACGGTTCTTTGAAGAAGAAGTATGTATTTTTGTAAATGGTTAGCAGAACAGGGATTAGGAAAGATAACAAAAACAGAAATTTACTAAGGGCTACAAAGGACAGGAAATTGTGGAGAGCCATGATCGTCAACGCCATGAAGGGACACGACTCGTTGAAGAAGAAGTATGTATTTCCGTAAATGGTTAGCAGAACAGGGATTAGGAGAGGTAACAAAAAGAGAAATTTACTCACAAAGAACAGGAAATTGTCATGAAAACGTGCCGCTATGTCGCTATCCTCACAATTGCATTTAATCGACCTTCTAATGTTCTTATGAACAGGATATTAGGTACAGGGGATTTGAAACGACTTTTGCAAATAGACAGAATACATGATTGTCAGCTATAGGAATTGCCCAAAATGCAAATTACAAATTGGAGATACCAAAATATACAATAATTGGCCATCGTTAAATGTAATTGGTAGAAATGCCCGAGAAATAGAATTGGCAAGGTTTGCAATAAAAATAACAAACTAAATAAAAGAACAGGGCAAATATAATACGAAGCAAACAATGTATGCATGACAAATGTAGGAACTGAGTGAACACACAAAAGGGGTACCAACAAGTGACCACAGCATTTTGACATCGATAGAAGAAAGAACAAAAATATGGCCAATGAGACCGAGAAGTGACCTATCTTATTAACTAGGAGGAAATTTCAGCAGGTATCTGTACGATTTGTTGAAAATTTGGGGAGGGGGTGTTTTTTGCAGTCATTCCCTAACACGATGGAAATCAATGCAAAATCAAACAAGTACAGCAACTTAAATACATGCAAAGTGCTTTAACAGAGAACGAAAAGTGCCACACTGAAATCTGAAGACACAGTGTGATAGCAAAAGATGCCTTCCAAAAGTTAAGCAAGGTATTAAGAAACAGAAAATATTCGTTAGGAACACAGAAGGAACTACTGAACTGTTACGTAATATCACTCCCCCTATATAGCAGTCTTAAGTATGTTAACATCAATCATAAAATGCGTTATGTCCGAGATTATTACTTTGCTATTATGTTAGTATAGGTGAGTGGTGTAAGTGCTTATTCATAGGAAATCATGGATACATTTTGACTTAGACGTAAGAACGGAACATTGTCGTAAGTAGAGGACGCCATGTATACCATCTCCTGAGGAGAAATCTATTATATTTAGTGTTATTTTTTTATGTCTTTTTTTTTTCTACAGGCTGTCACTGTTCACTTATATTTTTAATAACAGCTATGTTCCAATATAGAAAGTAAGAGAAGAATTAAACGAAAATTCTAAGCAATGTTAAAGATGGCGTCCGTTAGCATCAATACAGGTTTGAATCTTCCTTTTGTTGTTTCTTAACATCGCCATTAGTTGCCCGCTTGAAATAAACAAAATGAACAGTTATTGCTATTATTTTGTATGGGAAAAGTTTTAATTTTTGTCTGACGGTTTTATGGGCAGTTCCAAGACCAACATCTTGCTGCAGCGCTAAATACCGTCATGATTGTCTTGGACTGCATACTGTCAGAAATATCCAACAGTTTCTCTTCTGATAGACAGAGAGACTGACTTTGAAACCGTATTTACTAATTATACTAATAAAGTAGATAGTTTTGAACAGGAGTAGACGTTTATCCATTGTTTTCTGTTTAGGATTGTATTTCCGGTTCTTTCTAAAGTTTTCGTTCCTAGAAGACCGTTGCGTCTTAGAGGCATTATCGCCTTGCTTGGTGTTGAATTGATTAAAAAACAAAAGATAGATATATAAATATTTCCTCCTATGTTAGCGTGGAATTTTTTATCGTATCGACCACATTTTATACAGTGAAACTTTCGGATCAAATTTTTCTTAATAACTATTCTTTCACCAATGGATTTATTGATTGGGTGAATGCTGTCTCTATCGCCATAGGTCAAAATTAGTATGCATACGTGTCTGTGAAAAAGATATCCTGCAGGGGGCGGGAAATAGTGAAAGGGTGAATAAGTACAAATACTGAGAAGAGAAAAAGAACAGGCGATATACATAGGTATTTTCGATTTTACAAGTTCAGGTATGTACTGATTACTTGAAAGTGAGGTATATTGGAGATTCATTGCAAACTCCTTGGAAATCAATTCCGAATTCGGAAGAACTTACATTATGAAAGATCAGCAATGGAAGGAACTAAGAAAGGAAGGAAGAAAGAGGGCAGAAAAACGGGAGAGTGAGAGGTGGAAGAGAGAAATAAGAAAGGAAAGAAGGGAGAGAGGGAAGAAGGAAGGAAGAGAAGAGAGGAAGGAAGGAAGAAAGAAAGAAAGAAGAAAATAAGGAAGAAAAGGAGAGAGAGAAGGCATGATCAAAGAATGGATGGAAGGAAGAGAGGATGGAGCAAGGAAGGGAAAGAGGAAGGAAGTATCATTCATAATAATTCAGAAGAATACTCAACAGACTGCAGAAAGCACTGGACGGCCGTTTCGTCCTGTTTAGGACTCCTCAGCAGTGCACATCCACTACCAAAAATCGAACCCGGACCGTTACGATATAAAGCAGGCGCCATAGCACTGGACCAACGAAGAAACTCGC